ATTATTACTATTATTATTATTATTATCATTATTATTATTGTTATCATTATTATTATTATCATCCACTATTATCATTAAGTTTATTCGACGAGTTTAAAATATTTAAAGAAAAAAAAAAAGAAATTTTTTTTCTGCGACCGACGACAGCGAGGTAATAATAAATTAATTGATATTTTTAAATTTTCTGCACCTGAAAGGTTTCATAACCTTTTAACCTTTAATTTTTTAATTAAACTAAAGGTTTTTCTTTTTTTTTTAATAAAATAAAAATTTAACTTTTTTATTTAAATTTTCATGTCAACACATTTAAAAAAACTCAAATAAAAAATTTTAATTTTTTCCCTCCTTTTTCTTTTAAAATTTAATAATAATAATAATAATAATAATTTTAACATTTATATAAAAGAAAATAATAATAATAATAATGATAATAATTTAATGACTAAGACGTTTTCGTCTACAGGTTGACAGGTGTTTTAAAAATGATAAATTAACCAACCGTAAGTAATAATAAAAAAATTTTTTTTTTTAATTTTTTAATATTTATTTTTTTTTGGCATTGTAAGAAAACGTATTTTACACGTAAGCTAAATATCTTTATTAAATATCATTTTTTAATAAAAACGTGCATATATATATTTTTTTTTAATTTTTTTTCGTTGGGTTTATTTTATAAAAATTCTAATGACACGATTATTTTTTTTTTTTTTTTTGAAGAGATTTATAGTAAAACGAATCGAGGAAGGATGTGAAAACGATAAACATGGAAGGAGAAACACGTAAATCAATATTTTATTATTATTATTATTATTATCTTAAGTTTTTTTGTTTTATTTTTACGTTGATAAAAATTAAACGTTTTTCCATTTCGAATGAAAAAAGGAAAAAAGGAAAAAAAAAAGAAATGGAGGAGAAACGATCGTTTTTTATCTTTGTTTTTTTATTTTATGCGACGTTGTCAGATTTCAAAAAACATTTAAATCAATTTATATAAAGTTGAAAAAATATTAAAAAAAAATTTTTCAAAACGACAATCGTTTGCCCATCCGACGATTCACTCGGTTGTTGTTTGTTCCTTTTTTTTCCTTTCCTTTTAAGAAACAAAAATAATAGCCAGGGAAAAATAAAAAAATAAAAATAAGCGGAATACGTAAATAATTTATTTTATTCTTTTTTTTTAAATTTACTATTATTATTATTATTATTATTACTCTTTTGTTTTCTTTATGACTTTTCTTCCGGTTTGTGCGTACGAATAAAAAATTTATAAATATTAAAAAGAATAAGAAAAAGAAGTTCGGGGGAGAGGAAGGGAAAAATTAAATCAAATAATTATTTAATTATTTTAATAAATGCCACCCGAATTTTATTATTATTATTATTATTAATTTTTTTATTACGTTAAAAGACAGATGACAACCCGTAGACATTTTTAAATTTTTTAGGCGCCAAATTAATATACTTTATTTAAAATATTTTTAACGACAAAAAAAATAAAATAAAATGATTAAAAAAATTAATTTTGAGTAATAAAATTTTTTATTATATGTAAAATAATAATAATAATTTATTACTTGTTAATTTATATATGTTAGGGTTAAACGTGATTATTATTATTATTATTAATATAAGTCAACGAAATCGTGAAAATACGACAATTTTTTATATTATTTACCGTATTGATAAGGTAATAAATAATTACTCGTGTGTTTACGCATAATCAAATTATAAATTTATTACTTAATAGTGAAATTATTCTTCTCCCACTACCACCTCCTCTTATTTTATTACTGTTTAAATGTAGGTAATAAATAATCAAGTTAAATAAGCATTTGTATATATATATATTAAAAACGTCGAATGAAAAGTTATCGAAACGTCATTTCATTGGTTTTTTTTTCTTTTTTTGTTTTGTTTTGTTAAACCTTTTTTTTTTGTTTTCCATTTTTTTTTTTTTTTTGAAAATCGCATTTAAAGCCTTTTATACCACATTTTTAGCGAGTTCATTAATTCCCCATCCCCTCCCCTCCCCCCTTTTTTCCCTTTTTTTTTTAAAAAAAAAATAAAACTCAATTTTTAATAAACATCATATTTTCACTTTTTTTCTCTCTCTCTCTCTTCCCCCTTCTTTTCTCTCATTCTTTTTTTTTTTGTATTCAACTTATTATTATTATTATTATTATTAATATTTTTTCCGTTCGTTTGTTTTGTTTATTAAAACGCGCGTAAACATAAAACGGATTAAAACGCTGCGTTTTTAATTTAATTTTACTTAATTATAATTATATAGAGGTGTGCGTGTGATCGTAATGTAAATTTAAAAAAAAAAATTACCGGAGTTATAAATTTGAAAATGTAATTTTTTTTTCATGCCCCCGGGTAATAATTGGTAATAAAATTTTTTATTAACCCATATATATGTATTTAAAAACATAATGATAATAATAATAACGGATTACATTTATATAAAGTAACTGAAAAGGTTCATTAAATGTGGAAAACTCCAAAAAAATTATATAATAATAAAATTTTTATGAGTCGCTCGTAATATTTTTAACGAGATATGGAATTAAAAAAAAAAAAAAGTGTCATTAACGAGATAATATTACTACCGGAAATAAATAATAATAATAATAAGTAATAAATAAATTTAAAACCGTCGAAAATTTAAAAAAAAAAAAAATTGTTTAACGATGATAATTATAATTAATAAACTTTTTTTTTTTTTAAATAATCTTTCTTATCAGTCAGTATATAAAACAATGATAAAGATGATGATAATAATGATAATGATAAAATGAATGAAAAAGAAAAAAAATAAATAAATAATTATTTCAAACCGAGAAAAAAAAAGTTTTTATTTTCTCTCTCTGTTACTCTCTCACTTCAAACATTCTCTCTCTCTCTCTCTGTCATTCTATTTTTTTTATTCATTTGAATTTATTCATGAGAATTTTTTTTTTTTTTTTAAAAAAAAAGAGGATAACTAAAACAATTATTGTTGAATTTTTTTTTTTTTTTTTTTTAAATTAATAAAATTAAGCAAACATGGAGTGAAAGTTAAAAAGATCAGAGAATAAAAACATAAAAGAGAGAGAGAGGGGGAAGGGGAGAGAAAAGAGAAAGAGACGAAAAAAAAAAATTTTTTAAATAAAAAAAAATATTAATAATTATAATAATGAATATATTTTTTTCCTATATAAAATTTAATTACATTAAAATTCAATTCCGTTATAATTATTCATTTATTTGTTTTAGAATTTTCTCTTCGAGTGTTTTCTCTCTCTCTTTTTTTTTTCATTTTCAAAAAAAAAAAAAAACCGAAAAAAAAAATTAAATAAATATAAAATTTAAAATGTCACCGTCGACGCGGAAAGTTAACAAAATTATTTTAAGCGTATTATTATTATTATTATTATTATTATTATTATATTTCGTTAACCCCGAATAATAATAAGAATAATAATAATTAAACCAAATAAACGATATAATTTTTTTTTTCCCCTCCCAAAAAGTATGACGACACGAATGACGTTACATTAAGGAAGAACATTTAATAAGATTTTCACGTTTTTAAGTCGTTTATTATTATTATCACTATTATTATTATTATTACTACTAAAACAAAAACTGACCCGAACGTTAAAATTTTAAAAATTTTCGAGTGTGAAACCGAAAAAAAAAAATTTCTAACCGGAAACGATTGTAAATAATTAATAAGATGAAACCAAAAGTAAAAAAATAAATAAATAATTTTCCGTTACAAAAAAAAGAGGGGAGGAGGGAGAGGGCGAGAAAAAACTTTTTCGGTTGTAAAACCCGTTTAAAATAATAAAAAATTTAAATTAAATTTGTTATTCGGATTCCAATATAAAAAAAAACCGTTAAAATCCAGGTACGAAAAAATTTTGACGTCATTATTTAACGCCGGTTGATGATGATTTTATTTATTTGTAAATTTTTTTTTTTTTTCATCTCACGTTTTTACATAATAAAATAAATAAATAAATAAATAAATAATAAATGAAGTCGAACGTGATTTTAAAAAAAAAATGCGTTTCCGTTTCCGGTTTTTTTAATATTTTTTTAATTTAAAAAGAATATAGTTAATTAATAAAAATTTTTTTAAAAATCGATTCATCCTCAAATTGTCATTAACGTCAATTATTCTATTCCCTTTTCACTCGTTAAAACCTTTTTTCAACCTTTTTATTCCTTTCCTTCCTTTCTTCCTTTTTCCCGCAACAGGAACAACAGAAACAACAACAACAAAAGCAGAAGTAAAAAAAAAAAAAATATTTTCATGAATTTTTTAATTCAATTAGTCTCCATTCGAAACAGGAAAAATAAAAAAATTATTAATATTATTATTATCATTGCGAATATTTTTTTTCCCTTTTTTTCTTCCTCCCTAACCCTCCCCCCCGCCTACTTTTTTTTAAATTGAAAGGCAAAACCGGAAATCAATAACAAAAAAATCGAAAATGAAAAAAAATTTATTTTACTTTTTAATTTGATTCTAAAAGAAAAAAAATTTAAAAAAAAAAAAAAACAAAAAGTTTATTGAAAAAAAAACCGAAAAGGTTAATAATAATAATAATAATAATAAGAGAGAGAGAGAGAGAGAGAGAGAGAGAGAGAGAGAAATTTTATTTTTTATCAATGTAAGTTTAAAATTTAAGTATCGAAAAAAAAAATAATAAAAATAAAAATAAAGTTTTTTAAATAAATGTTTTGTTATTTTTACATATAGACTAAGTAATAAACAACGACGGGAAATCGAAACGGCGAGAAAAGAGAGAGAGATACTGTGAAACTGTGGTAGAAAGAGAGAGAGAAAGAAAGAATGGGGGGAGGGAAAAAAACTTTTGTTTAAGTGTTGCCTTGTTATTATTATTATTATTACTACACTTCAAGTTCGAATGAGTTTTTTTTTTACTTTTTATTTTTTTTTCGTGGAAATAGAATTCGAATAAAAAAAAAGAAAAAAAGAAAATTACCTCGTGTTGTCTTCATCCACGAACATGACGACTCCTCTTGCATTTGGTTTTGTTAAAAGTCTTTCGACAATTCTATCAAAATCTTCCTGTTTAGAATTTCTTAATATTTTTTCGGAAACTGCCATGCAAATCCCAGAACTTGTCGCCAATGATATGAACGATGCGATTCCCTTTTAAACGAAAAAATTTTTAATTAATTATAAAAAGAAATAATTTTATACTTTATTTTCATTCCCATCAACCCTCTTCTTATTTTTTATTTTGACAACTTTTCTTTTTTGCAAACGACATTTTTTTTTAATTGAAGCCAAAGAAAATTCGAAAAATTTATTTTATTTTTTTTAAAAAAAATTATGTAATTTATTCGGTTATTTAAACGTCTAAAACCACGACCACATATAAAATTTTATTATTATTATGTATTGACACTTTTTCATTAAAATCCATTCGAAATCGAATTATTATTCGTTTTTTTATTACTTTTTTTTTAATCTTCACGTAATCGTCCGTCGAATAAATAATAATTTTTTTTTTTTAAATTTATTACGGGGTACCTAATATATTGTAATTTATCGAAATATATCGAAATATATCGATAGTAATCGATATCATTCAAGATATGAATTTTTAATGAAACTCGATTCGAAATTTTTTCGTTCGTGGTGTGTCGAAACTGTTTTTTTTATTTTTTTTTTAATTTACATTTCTCGAAAAGAAAAAAAAAAATTACCGGAAATTGTTTGTCGTGTTAAATAATTTTTAATTTACGTGGCAGCAGAAAAATTAAAATTTTCCATGATTAAATAATATATAAATTTAATTGACGTTTTTACGATGGCATCACAAATTTCGTTTTTTTTTTTTTTTTTTTTTTTTTTAATGATTACAATTATGGATACTAACCTTTTCACCGTAGTCTCCTTCCACGGCAACCGTGCTCACGTATTTCCATCCAAGTGCTTTAACAACTTCGACAATGGCTTGAGCTTGAAAATTATCTGGGGGCACGACGCGGCTAAAATATTCAAATCTTGATTTGTCCGATAGTTCGGTGCTCGTCGACGCGTAGCTTAATTGTGGAATCTGAATAAGAAAAAAATAAAAATAAAAAATTATAAACGTGTCACCAGAAAGGAAAAAAAACGGTTAATTGATTAATTATAATTTTTTCCCTATCGTTTATTTATTTATCTAAAAACATATTCGAAAAAATAATAATGTTTTTGTGGAAATCGCTTTTCGTTACGCCAAAACTTTCTACTTCCACTTTTTACTTCCACTTTCCCCTTCGAAAAGAAAAAACTTTATAATTACAATTTGAAAGAGGAGTTGGATGAAGTGGAAGAAGGTGGATGGAAAACCTTTTTTTTTATTCACCTTTTTTTTTTTTTTTTTTAATAAAAAATTTCTTTTTTTAAAATAATTGAAAATGCCAAAATGAAAAGATTTTTTTTTTTTTTGTGTGACGCACAATGATGACGACGACGACGACGACGACGATCCTTTTATCCGACATTTTCCTTTTTTTTTATACTCCTTCATCTTAAAAAACTTTTCTTTTCATTTTTTCTTTTCTTTCACATCTTTTATTTTCAATTCGTTTTCAATTTTTTTTTTTTGAAATTTCTTTTCATTTATCTTAAAATTTAAAGGTGTGAAAATGTTTTATTAACTTTTTTTTCTCTTTTTTTTTCTTCTGCTTCTTAACAAAGCTTTCACTTGATATACGAGTTTTTTTTAGTCGCTAAATAATAAAAAAAATTTTCTTTTTTTCTTCAGGCCAAAAAAAAAAGATTTACCGTTATTCATTGTTTCTAAATACACTTCACTTATATATCACGTGTGTATTTCTAAATACACGTTTTTTTTTCTAAAAAATATAATAACTCTCTCACGAATTTTCCTCACCTTTTTTTTTGTTTTCGAATAATAATAATAATAAAACCGACACGAGTACACAATTGTAATTTTTTTAAAAAAAAAAAAAAACGTTTTTGATTGGTTGATCGTTGAGTCTTTCATTAAATTTTTTTTTTTTTTTTACACGTAATCTCGTCATCTTGTTTTTGCTTTTCTTTTCATCCGAGATTCTTAACAACAGCAAAAAATTGATTACGTTTTTTTTTTTTTTTTTTTTTTTTGTTAAACTAACAATGAGTGAATTCTTTTCGAATTTCAACGGTTTTTTAATAGAAAAGTTGCTGTTGTTGTTGTTCTCGTATGTGAGAAAGAAAAAATAAAAACGAGAACCGAGTAATTTAAAAAAAACAATATTAATAATAATAATAATGATAAGAGAAAATGAATGAGATAGTTTTCCGTTAAACAAACAAAAAAAAAAAATTTTCCTTGTGAAATTTTTTGTTGACGTTCGAAAATATTTTTTGGAAAATAAAAAAATTTTTTTTTGTAACAAAATCCGATACGTTATACCTTATAAATAATAATAATAATAAATCATGTATATATAAAAATGTAAGGATTGATAAGGTTCGAACGTGTAATATATGCACACAACAACAACAACAACAAAAAATTTTAAAAGATGATAATATTATTATTATTGTAACGTATGGAATTTTTTTTTTTGTTTGTTTGTTTGTTTGTAGGAAACAAACGAGGATGTAGTAGCACTTTATCAATATAAAAAAAGAAAGAAAGAAAAGATTACATGTTGATATTTTTTTTTTCTTTTGTACGGATCTAATAAATCTTTTCCATTCGTAATCGATGTTAAAAAAAATTTTTTTTTTTTTTTTATTCCTTTCGTAAACTTTCGTTGAAGAAAAAAAAAATCAACCTTTGACCCATCTGAGATTTTTTGTCACGTGTTTTTTTTGTTAAGAGCGACACACGCACGTTTTTTTTTTCTCCTAAAAAAAATTATTTTCACGCGTTACGATTTTAAATTTAAAAATGTTAACAATAATAATAATACTGGAAAAGAAGCGATTATAACAGTTTTACAGGATCAGGCATTAAGGATTTATAATTATGAGAAGAAAAGGGAAACAATCGATCATTTAATTTCCGGTTGTTCGATATATGGCAAAACATGAGTATTTGGAGAGTCAACATAAAATCTGTCAATATCACCACTGGAACATCTGCCGTGCCCGGTATCGGGCTAGGTTAGTGCATGAATGGGTCGATTTTATCAAGACAAAACCTTTTTGCTCTTTTGTCGACCTGAAACCATCCCCTGATCTGGGTTACTCCACAGATGCTGTCGTGATCGGAAGAACCCAGTTTAGAAAATGACCCGTTCCCTTTCGAACCAAGGGAAGACTAGACTAACAAGAATTTATGATAATGATGATGGTAAAGTTGTTAGGGGTTAGGTTATAAAAATCTACAAACCAATATTTACACGAAAAGAATCAGATATAAGCTCTCTGGGAACCATTTTAAAACAAACGCATAAAAACATGTCGCAATTAAAAGTGAAATAATAATAATAATAATAATAAAGGATAAAATTAAGGGGAAAAACGTTAACCGAAACGTTCACGTAAAATATAAAAAATATACTCATAAAAAGTTTTCGGATATTAATAAAATTAAGTTTTTATAATTATAAAACGATGACGTCATGAGAATATAAAATAATATTTAATCCAAATTTAAACCTATCATTTACTCTTTCCCTCTTTCCTCATAAAAGGAAAAAAAATTTTTTTTAATTTTCTTGCAAAGGATTGATATTTTGGGGAGAGGAGGGGAAAGAGAGGTGAGGGGAAAGGAGTAGAAACAGCAAACCGATAATAACTTTTAATTTTGTTCGATGAAAATAACAAAAAAAAAAAAAAAGGTTCACGAAGAGGAAGCCAAAAAAAAAAAAGAAAAGGAAAACGAACTAATAAGGGAAGAATAAAAATAAATGAGAAATCCGACAGGAAAGAGAGAGAGAGAGGGGGAGAGAGAGGACGAAGGAAAAGGATAAAAAAAATTTTTTTTTTGTTTAATTTTAAATTTCAATTAGTGTTAAAAAACAAAAACGTTCGAAAGGAAAACATTTCGAGTTTTTTTTTTACGTAGGATTTCAATAACAGGGCCGTATTAAGGTTTTTTTAAATTTCTAGTTGAGTTTTTTTTTTACGGGGAGAGGGTGGAAGAAAGGTGAGAGGAAAAAAGAGATAAGAAATTAAAATTTTAACAAAAAAAAAAAAAAAATTTGTTGCGTAGGTTATCAGTAAATGATTATAAATTATTGTTTAAAAAAAATATCTTCTGCTTTTTTTTTCTTTTCTTTTCCTTCTTCTTCTGCTTTTTTTTAATTAATATTTTTACGTAAAAATAAAAAATTTTGCCGGAAGTGTAAGATAAAAAAAAAAAGAAAAAAGAAATGAAAACTTTATTAAAAAAAAATTTTCCTTTACAATTTTGTTTTTGATTTTTTTCATTTTACGTCGTTTGTTGTTTGTCGAATAAAAAAAAATGTGAAAAAAATTGCATTTTGGTTGTTTATAAAGAGAGAGAGAAAAAAAAGAAATTTTTTGAATTCTCCCGGATTTGGTTTTTCATTTTTTCTTTTTAAAAAAATCCGATAAACCTCCCCGAAGGAAAAAAAATAAAAAACGGTGAAATTTTTTGTTTAGGTATACCTAAAAAAAATGAAAGTGTATTATTAAAGTCTTTGCAACAAACGAACAAACAAACAAACAAAAGAACAAACGTAAAAAAAAAAAAATTTTCATTTAATACGTTTTCATACGTTTTCCTATTTTCCATTATATAAACGTTTCTTTCTCGTTTCTCTCATTTAATTTTTTTTTTCCTTCAACCCCCTCCCCCCTTTAAAACGAGATTCAAATAACGTGACGTCATCAAGATTTCAAACTGTTGTGACGTCATTACAGAAAAATATATATAAATAAATAAATAAATAAAATTCTTTAATTTTTTCCTTTTTCTTCTGCGTTTTATATTCGTTACCCGCCCCGAATTCTCTCTCTCTCTCTCGCTTCCTATCTCTATCTCTTTCTCTCATTCCTTTTCATACTCTGTCTTTCTCTCTCTCTCTCTCCCTTATTCATTTTCTCAGCTTCATATTCCATACGAGAATGTCAGATTTAACATATTTTTCATTCCGAGCACTAAAAAACATACAACGTTCACTCTGTTGTTATTATTATTATTATTATTATTATTATTATTATTATTATTATTATTATTACATTCATTCGGGAATGTGCAAACGTCACACGTCGTCTGATTATTATTTTTTTCTTGTTTTTTCCCTCCTCTTTCTCCCCCATTTTAAATCCTGGAACTTTTTTTTTTAATTGCTTCGGAGCATTTTTTCTTTTTTTTTTATTAAAAATTTTTATTAAGTATTATTATTATTATTATTATTATTATTATTATTATTATTATTACGTCATTTGCAAAATAAAACTTTAAATCAAGTAAGTAAAAAAAAAAAAAAGAAAAAAAAAATTTAATATTTGAAGACGTTTATTATTATTATTATTAAGTTTTTAATTTCACTGGAGAAAAATTTACTTCCAAAACTTTTTTTTTTTTTTTTGTTAATGTTATTATTCTCTTTCTTCAACTTTTTTTTCTTCTGCTACTTTCTTACCTGCCTGTCTACCTATCTACTCATTTCCTTTTT